TACATACTATTTTACTGGCAACAAAACTGTCATAAGCATCCCACCTGCTCTGAAGAAAACGAACAATACAGAGCAAAAGTGTGGCCTCTGGCCTGATAATATGGAGGGCATTTCGTTCAGGGGACTGTTGTCAGTTAATATTACTTTAGCTCCAAGATCGCCTCGTCTATAGAAAGCATTTGAAGGTAACACTTCCTTCGGTTTTTTAAGGCAGCAGTTGCTGTGGATTCACTTTCACTAAAGTTACAACAAAACCAAGAGGCACTCCTCCAGCTTGTGTGCTTGTACTTAACAAGAGGAGGGGGTTATTGTACCGATGTAAACCCTCCGTCGAATCGCAGAACACTGTCTCTGCAGATTGCTGCATCATGGAATGTACTCTTGCCATTATTGGTGTACAAATGGCAAGGGCCAAGGGTGTATCACTGGTCTTGTCTTTTCCCATTCCAGCCTCAAATCTTTGCAGAGCTGCCTTTCCACCTCTGTCTTTGTTCTCACTGTTGTACCCCTCAATTCTTTTCTCTAACTCCTCCAACATGCCATCACGCCTTTCTGGACGAATAATATTTTGCAACCATTTCTTTTGAAGCCTGTAAACATCACTTTTTCTTGGATTGTAACGGCGATCTGACAGTGCCACCTCATATCCATGCTTCCTCTTGTCTTTTAGGTGATGTCTGAGCTTGTGGATAGCTGTGGCAGGAGAATCACCATTTAAAAAGCACTGCTAAAGTTTTATCTTGGTTGTTTCTGCGATATCTCTGTGCCTCAGTGGTGGGAAAGGAACACTTCCCAAGGGTTGGTGTAATACAGTTTTGTATGTGACAAGTGCTGTGTTTCAGCAAGCTTTAGCCGTAGTATACTAGGGCAAATGGTATTCTTATCCCTTGGTCCTGTTGGTTTCCTTCATTTGCTAGTGGTTTCTTTCCCTTCGAGTGACTTCTTGTATGGTGTTGACAATGAAAATAGAGACTACATATTTAATAAGTATTCAACAGCCTTCGTCCTACAATTTGAGGTGCAACGGCAATGGGCGAAAACCAAGAAAACAATGGGAGACAGAGCTTTCCAGGTAACTGCTCCTTTCCTATGGAATAAGCTGCCAAGGTCCGCGCGCGAAGCAACGAGCTTAGAATCTTTAAAGACTTTAATTAAGACATTTTTATTTAAGGAATCATTTCAGTTATCGTATTATATCTATATCTATATTTGTAATTATCGTTTACTCATTTTATTGACATATGTTTATGATTTTTGATAGAAAGATTTTTAAAATTTAGTTATTAATTACTATTGTGATGCGCTTTTGAATATTTTATAGAAAAGGTGCAATACAAATAATAAATGTTATTGTTATTGTTATCCGCTTTCCCTTTCCGTTTTGTCCTCTTGTCACTCTCCAAGTTGTTTTTTGATGCTCCCCCAACTAAGCCACCCAAGCTCTCATCACCTACTCATTTTTCAAATTAACTTGTAACTCAGCTTCAACTGCAAATAATGAAGCCCCGAGGAACGAATGTGTGGAGAGAGACTTGAAATGAGTTATGTGGTAGCTGTAATATGGTGGAAGAAGTTTTCTGACAATTTGTTCATCAGTTTCGTTTTTTTCATCCTTCTTATCAACATCATTACTTGTATCCCCATCCTTACTTTGCATGTCACTGGGTGTAAAATCTCACTCTTTGGCAGACTCACAGCTGGGCTGCTGTTCTTCTTCGTCATCACTCATGCATGTAACATCTGCATCTTCAACAGTACAGAGCGATGGTGCCACAAATTCATCCATGGGTATGATCTCACTTCATCACTATCTTCAGATGTGGGGTGCAATTTAGAAGTCTTTAATGAATGGACATCTGGATTGGATGGTACTGAACATTTCTGAGGTTTTTGTTGGACTGAAATGCATGACAGGTGGTCCTATTTGGATGTTGGTAGCTTGTTTGGCTGTTGCAAAGGATATTATGAATCCACGGTTATTAAAAGTTCTACATAGGCCTCACAGTCTGAATTATTATTTGATTATACATACTCGTGTTGTGCAGGCACTGTGGGAGGGGTGCCAGTGGAGAATGTCCGAGGATCGTAAGCAGAGTCATCTGGCTTTGGGCATAAATCTTTCTTTCTATTGGTTTGGATCTGCACTTGCCTCGCAACAGTCATGACAGCGTCCCAATTAATGTCAGCAGGGTGATGTCATTGTATTCTTAAAGAAATCTATGTAAAAATATGGGCTGTCGTAAATCTTTCTTTCTATTGATTTGGTATCCAAAGTTGCCTAGCAACGATGTCACAACTACTCTCGAATTGACTGCTTTTTTGCCTGTTCTGGTGATCAAGAAATGATCCTGGCTAGAAATATTGACTGCAGAAGTATTTTCCAGAACACATTGAAGCAATTTGGGCCTGTAGCTTCAAAATAAGAGCAAAAATCGAGATAGAAGAGCATTTTTTTCAGTGCATCTCACTTTGCAGACGAGTTCGTTTGTTGCGCAATATG